GGGCAGTTTCCATTCTCACAGGCCTTGGGACAATATTTTGAGACAGGATGAAACTCAGCCATAGTCTCATGAGAAAGGTTGTCAAAAGGATGCAATGATTTCTACAACGTGCCTGACCGATGAATAAACTATTCATTTTAGAAAAATGTGCAGAGCAATTTAGAGCAACCAGACACTCTGGACATTATGTAAACTGCTCAAGGACAGGGACTCTGTCTGCCTTGCTCTCTCAGTACCTAAAATAGGTACTCAGTGAACACTCACTGGATGAATGAATGTCAATAACAGGTAGCTGTAGGCCAGCAAAAGGTTTTCATGAGGCTAAGTCATCCTCTGCCCAGTCTTAGAATGGAATATGGGAATGGTTAAAGTACCTAGACACATTCTGGAGGCATTATGGAGATGATTTTTTAAAAGAATCAAAAATCAAAAAAAGAATCATTTATGTAAAAGTTCTAGCAAAACAAACCAACAAACCAGGTTTTATGAAATTTCTTCATCTTAAACAACTCCTGAAACCAATCATTGAAAAGGCTTTAGCCATGTGAAGAAAAATCTGGGAAATAATGATACAAGAGATAAATGGTAGCGTATGAAAGGGCATAGATTTTCAGTCAGATACTGTTAAGCTCAAACTCTGACTACTAAATTGTTATTAGCTGTACAACCTAGGGAATGCCCCTTACCTTGTTTAAATGTCAGGCTCCTCACTGGTAAAATGGAATATTAACTTCATTTTTGCTTTATTGAGTTTTAAGAATTAAGAAAGATGAACAATTGTAGGTACAGTGCCTGGCATTTAGCAGGCTCAATAGATCTGAATTCCCTCCCTTGCTTTCCTTAATCTTTCCTGCCCTTACACTTGTTTCAGAGGTAGGTAAGATCCTATCACTGTTTTATAAATGTTCTTAGTCATCCTTTTCAGAGATTTTTTAAAAACACATGAGTTGGAGGAGCTCTGATTTTTCTACTTATTTTTTTTTTCCTGAGTATCAGATCTAAAACATTAAATCCTATTACATAACAGAAAAACAGGGGATCTGGGGGCTAGAACATACAAATTATTGTAATTAGACTGGCAATAGAATTCTTTTTAAAGTCCATAGCTTTCTATTTTTCTGTCTTAGCAGTTATCTCTAAAAATGGTTAAAGAGATGGAATCAAAGAAGAGGTGGCCCTTGCTTCTGAAGTTACTGCTGTTTTAAGGGCTTTAACAGTGACATCTGTTGGATTTTTAACAAAGGGAGCCAGAGGAGTTCAAGGGAGAGTGAAGGAGACTATAGTTTACAAGGGATCCACATCTGTTTGGTATTCTCCCATCTGAGAAAGCTTGACTTCTGAAATAACATGGGTCGCTCAGTTAAACTTGAATCTAGGAACAGATGAAAGCCTTTCTTTCCTCAGTGTTTCAGTGGTACAGATCAACAGCTGTTTATATCCTTTAATACCTAACTAAGGATGAAGCCTTCACATCTGTCAGTAGTTTCCGGTTCTATTTCCTTGGATCACAGTGGGGAGGAGGTAAAGTTTGAACCTCTCCCAATTCCTAGGCAGGAACACAGAAATACGCCCAGGATTCAAAGCTATAATTCTAAGCAGAACTCCCCATTTCTCATCCACTCAGGGTCTGCTGTTTCCGTAGAGACATCTTGATAATTTCCATGATAATGACTCATGACAGCACAAAGATCAAAAAGAAGAAAAGTAGGCTGGAGTCAGGAGGAGGAAGAAGAGGAAGAAATGGAGTGTATCAGAGAGAGTGGCTCCTAAAAATAGGTTCTTGCAAAAGACCTTGACAATAACATCTGAGGGTAAATCACCCAGGTGAGCAGGAGGCTGAAGAAGACCCTCATAATGAGGGCAGATGGTGATGGTTTTACTGACCCCTACCATTTCACCTTGGAAAAGTTAAACAGAGAAAGTAAAACTCTGTGAAAGCAAGGTGCAGGAAATATCCAGGAATGGATACAAAAGGATTTGGAGACATTTGTTTAAGTTTTCTTTGATCATCAGTGCCATGAACATGTAAGGACCTTAAAAATGTTATTTTTCCACTCATCCATCCATTCGTCCATCCAACAACTTATAAGACACCAGGACTAGACTTAAGGCTGGGGGATATTCAAATGAATTAGATATATTACATAGCATAAGGAGCTTATTTTCTAATGGGTGTCTGAGCTGGACCTCAAAAGAGAGAATTCTAGACAGAGAAATGGGTGATTACAGACAGAGAGAATCACATGGATAAAACCAGAGAGGTAAAAACAGAATGTTTCTGGGGGAATGAAAAGTATTCTGGGTGGTTACAAGAAACAGAGTAGTGTTGGGTGCTTATTAAAAGTGTAGGTTCATGAGGAACTTAAACAATTCAATAGTAAGAAAACAAATAACCCAATTAAAAAATGGGCAAAGGATCTGAATAGACATTTCTCAAAAGAAGACGTATAAATGACCAACAAGTATATGAATGAATAAAGAAAATGTGGTTTATGTACACAATAAAATACTATTCAGCCTTAAAAAAAGAATGAAATTCTGTTACTTGCAACAACATGGATAAACCTGGAGAGCATTCTGTTAAGTGAAATAAGCTCAGCACAGAAAAACAAATACTGCATGATCTTATATATGGGATCTAAAAAGGTGATCTCATAGAAGTAGAGAGTAGAATGGTGGTTACCACAGACTGGGAGTCAGGGAGGGAAGCTCAAGAGATGTTGGTCAAAGGAATCAACATTTCAGTTAGATAGGAGGAATAAGTTCAAGAGATCAATTATACAACACGGTGATTACAGTTAAAAAAAAAAGTGCAGGTTCTTAGGTCTCACCTAAGAGATTCTGATTTAATTGTTAAGGGAGAGGATCAAGGAATTTGCATTTTGAACAGAAAGCCTAAGTAATTCTGATACAAACAAAAGTTTGACAACTCTAATTTAAATAGGTTAATGTTTCTCAAAAGATAACTAATGGTGTTCTATTTAACAACAAAAAGAAAAGGTACCAGGGTCAAATTAGGAAACACCACATACTAAAGTATTCTTTTCTTGAAAATTCATAATGTACACTGGCATATTATAATGCCTGCAGTAAAGAAGTCATTTTCACTTGGCATTCCCCAAACTTATTTTTCCATGGGAAAAAATAATCAAGGTATACATATTAAGCTCTCAGAATAACAGAGCATATAATGGGTGGAGATGAAACAGAGAATTCTGATCAGGAGAGCTTGTCACCTGAGCATGTAATGACTAAGAAAATGTATAGGAAAAAAAATGTAGTCAATTACTCTGGAGGATATGAAGGCATCCATTGATTTCCTCCAAACAAAGCCTAAAACCATCTATGATGTCCTGTTTTCCAAGCAGATAGCCAGAAGCTTCCTTACTCTCAAGTAACATGCCATGGCTCTGGGCTGGTACCCAAAGTTGCCAGAGAGACCAGGAATGCCCAGAGTTCAAAGCATCCAGGAGCAGACACAAGGGGAAGGACAAAGAGGAGTTATCCCTACCCACATTTATTTATCTTTATTGCTATCACATGTTCAGTACAGAGCATTGGCGGTTGCTTGAAAGGCTTCTGGAAAAGAAAAATTCCTCTCAGCTCCAATGTAGCCTCTGACAGTCAACAAAAGCACAAAAGACATGAACCTAGAAATTCCCACCCCTCCAAGGTGCATACTAGATGTCCAAGGGAGTTTTTGAAGCCTGCCTTCTTCCTTCTACACTGTGAACTGGAGGATGTGCCCTACCACATACGCCACCTCCTTCCTGCTAACAAGGGGCAGGAGAGAGAGCATGAGGGGACCGGATAAGCCAAGGCAACACCAGCATTCCGACATACTAGTTTGTGTGCTGAATATTTCAAGATGTACATACTGCACCAATCAATTTGCACTTTTTTTCCCCTGGTATAAACTTAATTACTTCCATACACCCCTTCTCAACTTTCCATATGCCACATGGGGACACCCCTCCCCCAGATCTAGAGGTGATTTCAACAGTGTGTTTCAAATACTCTTTTTGGGCTCCAACCATCTCAGAGCTTTGTGATAATACTTTCCAATGGCACAATCATTCCACAAACATTCTCTGTTTACAAAGGTTCCAGGGCAATGTGCTAGCACTGGAGATACAACAGGGGAAGTAGGAGATTGCTCACTCCTACTGAGCCTAGGGCATAAAACACTGAATTCTAAATTCAGCCTATCAGTACACAGGAAATCCAATGACCAATAGCATAAAGAAATACAAGAGGTAGAAAAGACCTGGTCCTTCTCCTTAAAGCATTTCATGGTCTATAGCACACAGCAAACAAAATGATTTGCATTTCAAGTGTCCCACTGGGTCCAGCAGCTATGCAAAGGTCAGAGTTAACAGCATAGCCTGGAATTAATAATTAATAATCTGTGACTAGGAGAGGGATGAGAATGCCAGAATCTTTTTTTTTTTTTTTTTGACAGGTGCACAGTGTTTTTTTTTTTTACCAAAATCTAAACTCTGTGTTTAGATCCCCAAACAAATCCATGAATTCTCACACTGGGATTTCTTAATCCTGAGATGAATACCGGTAATTGCATCAGAGTCAATGTAACTTTAGTCAATAAGCCAAAAAAAAAAAAAAAAAAAAATTTTTTTTTATCAGGTTAAGTGGGTGGGTTTGGAGTCTAGTCCTAAGGAAGCCAATGAGATCAAATCTAACATGTCACCAAGACAGTGTTCTCCAGCCTGAGGTATGTGTATCACTGGGATCCACAAAATAAACATAAGTGGTCCATAAATGTTTTGGTTTTTTTTTTTCATTTCAATGAGGATCTTAGATATGAAAATAGAAATTGCAGGTATACGAATAATGGAATTTAAGGAAACGTTGACATGTGTGCTTCCTATCATTCAAAGGCAATCTGTAAATTTTCTGAGCTTAGGGTGGGGGTGGGAGTGGTTGGTACAAAAGAGAACTTTTAATCTCTTTTAAAAACTGAGAACTGGTCATGGACTTACCCACACATGTTGGAAATATGTCCTCATTGTTGATCTGAACCTCGATCCAATCCATAAGAAGGTTCATGTACTGCGGAGCTGGCAATGCTGTCGGCTTCTTATACTTGAGGTCATCCTGCCACCGATACTCATATTTGGGGCCCCCTGACATCACAGGGCAGGTCCGCTCGGTGCAGAACTCACAGATGGTGCCATAGATGAGGTTGATCCGATTGAAGAAGTCCACTACGTGTACAGCCACCCAGTCATTCTGGTCCTCCCCGCTGGGCAGCTGCACGGCTGCCTTCAGGTCCACACCTGAGTTGAGGGACGCCTGAGCCCGTTTGTGTAGCTCAAACCTCTGCGTACCGGGTTCAAATTTCCTCTTGGGCCGGAAGGTCTTGTCCTTATTAAATACCTGTTTCAGGGCTATGGACATGGTCTTCTCCTTTGCTTCCTTTCTTTTGCAGGAATCAAAAAGGCACCTGGAACTTTTCAGTGAGAGATCGCAACCCAACAGGGTTTTCCACTGCCAGCCCTCAGGCCCCAGTCTTGCAGTCTACAACTTTTAATCTCTTTTAAATAGCCCGTTCCACCTTCCTCTTGAATGATCTCCAAGGGAACCTCATGTTCCTTCCTAAAGACAGAAGAGAAAAGGGAACTTATGAGTGCCCAGTTGCATTTAAGAAATGACAAAGGCTTGAACCTGATTTCGCCCTTGTGTTTCTTGCTGTGTCCATTTCCATGCAGGTATATGGACATGGGGTCAAGCCACTGCCCTGTGACTTGGTACTGATGATGCAAATCATGCAAATAACTAAAGAAGAAAAGGCATCACACTCTTTCTTCATGGCCTTTGTCAAATCTCTGCTGGCTCTTCTCTGTGTGATCATAGACTCAGGGGCCCTCTCCAAGATGTCATGGTGTTGATCAATAATCTGGCCCTATCCCATATGGGCTCCTTTTTGAGCCCCACCCTGCCATTGCCCCTGATGAGTAAGTATGGGGCCACTACCCTGCGGACTGCTGATGGGAGAGAGCAGCTACCACACCACCCTGGCTGATAAGAATGTCTCTCCTGGGAATTTGGAATCAGGACCTACTCTTTCTTGGGCATTCCATGAGAGGTGATAAAAACTGGGTCCGCTTGAACCCTGTTTAGACCATGTGTAGTGGAGCTGAGATGGCTGATCTGCAGAGCCTAGCAAGGTTGGAGGAGAGAAAGAAAAGGAAGAGGAAGAAGCTGTTGATATTCAGAGAAACAGAGACAAGAGCCAAAGTGGCCTCAGGGAGAGGATGACATGAGAAAAACAGAGAGATAGTGAGAAGGGAAGAGTGGCTTCCGGCTTCTTTAGTTCCTGATAATCTTCTAGAAACTGGTTCCAATTCCTCTTGAAGCCCAGCTGTGCCTCCCACCTTTGGGGATACACTTGTTGTTCCTGAACTAGTAAAATAAATCCCTTATTTTATTTTGCTAACGTAAGTTGTTTCTTTCTAAGGATGCCTAACTATGATAGCATTTGTCACTCCTAGATGCCATCCTTTATATCTTTAATATTATACCTTATCACACTGCACTTTGAGGCAGAGCTGTCCAATAGCACTTTGTGTGACAATACAAATGCTCTATCTATCCTGTCCCATAGGATACCCACTAGCCACATGTGGCTATTGAGCACTTGCAATGTGGCTAGTGTGACTGGGGAACTGAATTTTATATTACATCTAATTTTAATTAATTTAATTAAATAGCCATACATGGCTAGTGGCTACCATATTGGACAGCACAGCTTTGAAGTCTTCAGTGTTCTCTTCTCCACTATCTTACTGACTCACAAAAATATGGTGAGGTTTAGAGATTTATAGTAGGCATAATAGATTTGCAGCAGGTATCCTTCCCCCAAGATCTCCAAGAGATAAAATTACTTGTCTATTAAGGTTGCATAGCTAGCAGAGGGCACAGTTGGTATTAACATCCAATTTGTTGACTCCTAGCAAATGCTTTTTCCATGTGGCCTTATATTTTAAAAAGTAATGGCCTTTGACCTGTCTTTCCTGCTGGTTCATGAAACTCTCTTTAACCAGAGCTTCTATCCACATATTCCCCAAAGACTGCTAGTATGGATTGGCTGGAAGTGAAAGCTGTGTCCTGTGGCCTTCAAATAGAGAAGAGATAACTGATTCACCATAGGTCAAGCCCTAACAAAATGAGCCAACAGCTGCAGCCAGATTCAGAAGAGCCCATCATGAAATCCGTTAAAATGGACTTGGAGTATGATCCCATAGAACTGTTTTTTAATCTTACCTAGAAGAGATTCTTCCATTCCACACTCAAATATGGCTCAATGATGCTTTCAACCTTAAGTTATGAAGGCAAAACGATACATCTGAGACATCCCAGTTGCCTCTTACAGACCCTGCTCTTGCTCAGAACTGCTAATCTAGCAGCTAAGTGCCTCTCCCACCACTCCCTGCAGCCTGTGCCAACTCACTTCCTCCCTCTTCACCCCACCCTCTTCCTAATAGGCTTTCACTGAAATGCCATATCTGTGACTTGGTTATTTTCCCTCCTCATGTGACATTGAGCACACACACTCCCCACAAAGAGATCCATGTAGAAAAGCAGATCACATGACATTGTGCCTGAGGCTGTCTGTGAAATCACACACTCCTGAGTACTTCGGAATGTCACCTGCAAGCATCTCAGCACACAAGCTCTGCAAACTCCAGGGAAAGAATGGGGCAATCTCTTTTTCAAAAGAATACCTTCCCTAGGCTTACTCTGCTGGAAAGAGGCTTAAGAAAATGAGGGCCTTAAAGGACATTTCCAAAAGAGAAGTAAGAGCTGAAGGTTGGGAACACAGAGAAAGGATGGTAAGGACTTAAAAAAAAAGAGTACACAATAGTCTCTCTCTGTCTCAAATGTTAATTGCTGATACTAAAGCAGTAAACACTCATGTCTTGAGCAAGTAAGACTTGCTGTTCTGTTATTCTGATAATGAGGGCACCATTAATTCCCACAGTCCTCAGGGTACCCTTCTTTCATCACCTTACATGTCCCTTGGCACCACTAACTCTGCTGTTTCCAGTGGCCCAGAGTGTCTGCTTGCATGGACACCAACGTGGAAACCTTTGCAGACACCATCAGCAAGTTCGCCTTGCACCTCTGACCGGGGCATGCGGATGAGACAGGATAATCACAGCAAACCCTTCCCATCACAAAGTCTGGCAGTGGCTGGCACGCCCAAATAGTTAAATAATTATTAAAACCTTGTTTGAACTTTGGGGATTTTTTTCCTCCAGAGATACTTAAATAACAAACTTCAAGATACCAATCTCTTGAACCAGATGGGAATTTTTCCAAAACCTTAAATCACCCTCCCTTTTTGACCCAACTTAACAGGCTTACCTGAGAGAGAAGGCATCTTTGGAGGATTGTTTCTCAACCAAATACCTTCATGCTGCTGTTCCCTACCATTTATTGAACATGACTATGCACCAGATCCATTACATCTATTATTAACATGTCTAATCCTCCCACCACACCTTGCATGGTGGAAGTTTTTATGACCATTTGACATACCAAAAACAAATGAGGTTTCAACTAGATAAAATAATTTTCCAGAAATCGCAAAGTGAGTAGAACGTAAGGCTACATTTTGAACCCATATCTCTCTGACACTGAAACATAGATCTTTTTCTCACTAAAGCTATTTTAAAATCTCATGAACATTTTTATGTTTTCAAAGCTCCTGCACATGTATATTTCAAAGCTCCTCACAAAAAGACTACAAAGGAAGCTAGAACAGGTGGTATTATTATCTCTATTTTATAGACGAGGAAAGAGAAACTCTGATCTCCTGGTGTTTGGTCCAAACTTGTTAATCATTCTGACGCAGTCAGACATGAGGATGTGTCTTTGAGTGAAACTTTTTCACCTAAAGTGACATCTCTTAAGAAGGGATAGGCTTGTCAGGAGGGCCCCCATGTATAAAGACAACGGCAATCCAGAATGGATAATAACAGATTTGCCAGGCCACTGAATGACTGAACAAAGAGGCACCCATCTGTGTCTTTTCCAAGTGCCTCATGCCATATTGGCACAGGTACTCCAGAAGAGTCTTGAAATTAAAAAGAGAAAGTAATTCCACCTGGCCTTACTTTTCCAACCCACAGCCCTATTGGGACCCCTGCCCATAATTTATACTGCCAGTTAATTAAATGGTCAGAGCAGTGCTTATCAAATGTCAATGCGACATCTTGTTAAAATGTGGGTTCTGCTTGAATTGGTCTGGTTGGCACCTAAGATTCTATTAAGCTTCCAGGTGATGCCAAACCTACTGGTCCTTGGATGACACTTTAAGTACGAAAGCCTGATCTAACTAAGGCAGCTTGTTACAAATGAAGACTCTCAGGCTTCACCCCAGACCTAGTAGATCTAAATCTGAATTTTAACAAAATCTCAGAAGAAGTATATTCTTTGCAAAGTAATGGGTTGGAGCGCTGCCTAAATGCTGAGTAAAGGAATGAATAAATAAACTTCCATTTGTTGTTTTGTCGACAGTTTGCTTCATAAACAGAGTCTTCAGTTGAGTGTGTTTGGGAAAAAGAATAAGGACAGACTCACTGTTTTGATTACAATTGCCTTGACAGATGGTGACAATGACCAGGTCTTTTGATCCAGATTGACTTGGATAGCCCAGCACCCAGCACCCAGGAGGTCCCCAGTGAATACCTTTTTATAAATGCCAGATGGAGCACAACTGCTGCTACTATCGCCTCATGCAGACAAGTTTCTTTGGCTGAATAAAAATGTTGCATTAGAACAACCCAGTGGTTAGTCTCCGTCCTTGTCCAGTCTCCAGAAAAAAAGAACAAGTCATAAGTTTTGTTCCCTGACCAGAAACTAAAAGCAAATTCTGTGTTATGAATAGCACCCATGACAATGCCGGTTCTCAGTAAATATTTGATGCCAATTGCTCATGTAATCAATAAACATTTATTAAAGGCCTTATATGTGCCAGATACAATGGTAGGCACTAAGGACATAGAGTTAATTAAAATTTGTTCCTTGCCTATGAAGAGTTTACAATTTAATATCTAGTTCTGAGGTTAGTTATTGACTTTAAATTCTGCGAAGTTCAATGCACCAGTAGGGACACTGATGTGTATCCTTCAGAGTATTACTCAGGTTAAGGAATGAAAAGGACAATAAAGAGTGAGGTCCTTGGAAAGAGAAAGACGGAAATCCAAATAAATAGCATGAAACTGACAGGAGCTCCATGTGTTCTCCATATTTCCTGCCTAATAGATCAATTATAGCAATAAAACATGCACACTATAAAAATATGCAGAGAGAATTCGGCTGGGCTGCAAGGGAATGTTGACAAGGTAACTAAGCAACACTGGCAAGGAAAGTTCTTATTTTTCTTTTCCTATTGATGCCTTTTGCCTCATTAGTTGAAAAATCAAGGAGTCTTTGCCAGAGATAAGGAAGACATGAAACAACTCTCCCACTCAACTCCTGAGAAATCTGTCTTCTCCATCCATGACCAACTTAAGCGGCCTTGGTGGTACCTAAGGGTGAGAAGGAAAGAAAGGAGATGGACCAAAGCTGATACCAGCTGGAGGGAAAGC